AGTCTAAAGCACTATATGCGAGGAAATCTGACCTGGGTGTCAGACACAGTAACTTAATAAAAGTTCTAACTCGTAATTGAAGTCTAAAGACACTGGATACGTTAGATTGACGAGGAAATGTTCTGACAGGTCGCGGCGGTGTTAAATGTGGTTCTTAGAACAATGTCAGTTTGAAAACTTAACACTTTCAATGGGTGGAGAAAACAAAAAGCGGTGCTATTTATAGTTTTATACCGACCTCCTGGTCCTTACAGCGAGTTTCCTAACAGAATTCTCTGACTTCATTTCAAACCTAGTTTTGGAATGGGAAAACATAGTTATAACTGGAAACTTCAATATACATGTGGACGACAGCACTGACAGCTTAAACAAAGCTTTCAGCGCCGCACTAGATGGTGTTGGTTTTACTCAGAATGTCGAGGAACCTACCCACATTCATAACCCCACCTTGGACCTTGTCCTGACCTACGGCTGTGATGTCTCCAATGTTGACATCCAGCGTCAAAGCTCGTTGCTGTCTGACCATTTCTTGATCACGTTTGATCTCTTTTTGGAGGACTTTCCTGTCCCGCAAGATAAAACCATAATGAAAAGAACCTTAAATGATAAATCTATCACAAGGTTCAAAGAACTAATACAGCCTATGTTGAATACTGCTGCAGGTGAACCTGTTCACAGCTGCTGCAGTCCCTCAGTCATTGACCAAACGGTGGACAACACTATGGAGTCTTTAAAATCTGCATTAAATGCAGCAGCTCCTTTAAAACAGAAAACTATTAGGATTAGATCATCGTCGCCCTGGTACAGTGTTCAACTCCACACTTTAAAACAGGACGTCAGAAAATTGGAGAGGCTATATCGCCACTCCCACTCGGAGCCTGTCCACAGGGAGAGGAAAGCAGGTCTCCGAAACTATAAGAATGCCCTTCGCAGGGCTCGAACTCATACTATTCAACTTTAATAAGAAGCGAATACAAATAACAGTAGATTTTTGTTTAGCACCGTCGCTAAACTCACAAACTGCCATAGCGCAATCGAGCCTAAAATTCCAAGCTCACTGAGCAGTGTCGACTTTCTCCACTTCTTTAATAATAAAATTACATCCATCCGTGACAAACTGGAGGAGGTTACTCCTGCTGTTGGTAGTGACAAGCTGAAGCGGCATACGTGACTTCCCACTTAGACTCTTCAGTGGGCCTCGATAAATTCATGGCTGTGAGCCAAGCAGAGGTGATCTCTGTGGTCACATCCTCAAAAGCCTCAACTTGCATGTTAGACGCAGTCCCGACATGGCTCTTCAAAGACATACTTCCTTTGATAATTGAGCCTATCGTAAATATAATAAACGCATCCATACAATGTGGCTATGTCCCACAAGCTTTTAAAACCGCGGTAATCAAACCCCTTCTGAAGAAAACAAACCTGGACCCAGAAATACTTACAAACTACAGACCGATCTCAAACCTCACTTTTATATCTAAAATCCTGGAAAAACTTATAGCTGAGCAGCTTCGCTGCCACCTGCAGGAAAATAATATGTTTGAAGTCTTTCAATCAGGATTCAGAGCTCATCATAGCACTGAAATGGCACTAGTCAAAGTCACAAATGACTTACTACTAGCTGCTGATAATGGACAAGTGTCAGTGCTGGTCCTACTGGACCTTAGTGCTGCATTTGACACAATAGACCACAGCATTCTACTGCAGAGGCTAGAATGTGATATAGGTCTTAGAGGAACAGCCCTTGGCTGGTTTAAATCCTATTTATCAGATCGGTATCACTTCGTCAACGTTTGGGGCACTATTGGTTCTACGTCATGGTGCTACGTCCCTTAGGACTTCGCTAGTGGGATATCACGTGACCCCCAGGTCACAGACGCCAGAGAGATCAAAATAATTTGCTCCAATCACCAGCCACCTTCCTCTATAAATGCCCCTGCACAAGGCCGCACCCCCCCTTTCACTCTGGCGCCGTTTGAGATCTACATTCGTTACCTGAGAAAGAAAGATGTCTTCTGATGCACGTCCGAGTTCCCCTCGCCATCCGGCGTCGGACGTCGTCGTTGCTCGACTTGTCGGGGCAAGCTCCAACGCAAGGACCAGCACTCCAGCTGCTTCATGTGCCTGGGTGCGGGCCATGCGGCGTTGAGCGCCACCTGCGCCTCGTGTGTCGCTCTCCCCAGGGAGGAGAGTGAACGCAGGCGCGCGTTCTTCGCCGCTTCAGCGCCCCGTCCGGACTCCTCTAAGGACGAGGAGTCTGAGATTGACTGGCCCCCCTCGACATTCCACCTGTGCCCGCGGAGTGGGGTGACTGCGAGGACGGAGAGGTGTCGGAGGTCGGCTCTCTCCTCACGCTGGACGAGGTGGTGTCCAACCCGGAGCCGGACCGCTTCCCGCTGGACCACATGCCTGGGCTCTACGCCACGGCGGCGGCCATCATGGATGCCCCCCTGCCACCGCAACCGAACCAGAGGGTGGAGGACTTCACCTCTGGGTACGCAGCCCCTCGAGGGAGGAGGATGAGCCCAGCCCACGTTGTGCCCGCGTATGGACCCGATCGTCCATTACGCGACACGTGAGTGGCCCAAAACCCCTAGCGGCCAAGAGGCCCGCTTTGGGGTATGGCATGTACTGCAACGTGCAGGACTGGTCCTGGACAGGCGGGGTCCCGGACATCGAGGACTCGGTTCGGGCGGCCCTGCACCCCTCCTCATCCGTGTGGCCCAGCACCAGACCTCTCCTTCCCTCCGAGCGGGATAGGATGTCTCTGGCTATGCATGACAGATGTTACGCCAATGCGGCTCAGGTCGTCGCGGTGGCGAACAACATGGCTTTCATCACCGGGGCCCTGGATAGGTCTCTCTCCTCTGACCAGGCACTCAGTGGAGACACCTTAGCCCAGGCGAGGACCACTTCAGCAGCGATCTTGCGCATGTGCCAAGCGCTAGCTTCGATGGCGGCCGCTCTTGGCAGCAGCCCAGTCGGGGCCAGACACCTCTGGCTGGGGGGCGGTGAACCTCAGGAGAGGCGGAGAAGAGGCCAGCTGCTGGACCTGCCCATCTCCAGACGTCGCTCTTTCGGTCCGAGATATGCAGACGCTGATGACGAGGCTGGACAGCGCGGCTAAGGAACTCGGCTAGCCTGGCAAACACCTAGCTACGAGACGCGAGGCCCGCCCACCAGCGCGGAGCTGAGACAGAGGCAGGGAGCGCTCGCCTGGCAAGCGCCCCGGACCATATCCACGCTCCGTGGTCCATCGTTCCCCAGCGGCGAGACCCCGGGCCCAGACAGGCACACGGGAGGTTCGCGGGACCAAACACACCCATCGACGGCCTCCTACGGTAGAGGAGGTCGGGGTGGTAAAAAAACTCTTTCAATAAAGGCCGTCCGGCATTTCACCAGTACTCGCTGTCTGAGTCTCATTTGGGGGTATGTAACATGTCAAATGATTTGAATTCTGTTTGTGTTACTTCTCGAGCATATAACGTGGCTCCGCCAGGCCTGCAGCCCCCAGAGAAGGGCGTGCAGCGCGCTGTGCAGACCACGAGCTCCGATTCACGGGTTCATGTTTTGCCCTCCCGGAGAGAGGGCAGGCGGAGGGATCTGATAAGTGCTAATGTGTGTGCTCCGGGCGCTAGCGTGTTAGCATCTCTGAGCTACAAGGCTAACACGGGGTTTCCCAATCCAGGGGCTCTCCCCCCCCTCCATGAGGCAAGAGCCAAGGGGGGGCGCAGCAGCCGTGTCACGCGTGATGAGCAGAGCTACATTGCTAACACGGGGTTTCCTAATCCAGGGGCGTCTTCCCCCCCTCCATGAGCAAGAGCCAAGGGGGGGCGCAGCAGCCGTGTCACGCGTGATGAGCAGAGCTACAATGCTAACACGGGGTTTCCCGATGCAGGGGCTCGCCCCCCCCTCCATGAGGCAAGAGCCAGGGGGGGGCGCAGCAGCAGCGGGTCACGTGTGGTGAGCAGTCCCGTACTTATGACGTCGGACCTGCAGAACACGTGACCGCCCTCGGCGCTCACGGTGTGACGCAGGGGCCCCCCCGGCCCTTTCAGCCACCCCCCCTCCCTGCTAGGAACACCAGGAGGGGGCGGGGCCATGACGTCTCGTGTTCCAGCTCCCGTTCCGCCCCTCACAGATTTCTACGACATCTGGAAGGAGCAGGGCTTACTGTCAGATGTTTGGCTGGAGAAAACTCTGCGCAGAGGTTACGCTCTGCAACACTATACCCCTATCTCACTCACTATATAGTTCGGGACTATATAGCGACTGAGTGAGTGAGTCAGTGCACTCATTCTGTTGGCGATTCGGACACATGCACATTTCTGCGCTTCGCCCTATTTTTAGCCGTGGCCCGCATCACACCACGGCACATGTCATTGGATCAATATACTTTTAAATATATTTATATATAATTATAAGTATATTAAAATATCAATCTTTGTCTAATATACATGTATAAAATGTTTTTACAATATATTTATATACTGTATGAATTTTTGTTGACTGATTTGGTTAACGTCCCTCGACCGGCTCTTCTAACACCGGTGAGATGGCACCCCACTGAATTTTTAAGTTTATCCTTACAATTATTCAACTTCTCATAATGAGAATTAAAACCTGCCGAACAGAAAGACGACGAAGACAGGCGATGAGGAGGAGGAGAATGGCTCTTCCTTCATTAGCAAGGCTCAACTCGAGTAAGTATTGTACCTTTATCTATAGCATTAGCACCATCTACTGGGTAAATTAAAGTACTTTAGGTGTACTTTCTAATAAAAAATACTATTCTCAATCAATAGGAAACACATTAGACATATACATTTAAACATATTTAAACAAGAAAACACATTGTATATACACACTCACATAAAATTCAAGAACATTTAAACACTTTATTGGTTGAAAGAACAGAAAAACATAGCAAGGGAAATGGAATAAGTCAATTTTTTTCTAAATGAAATAAAGAGTATTTAATCATTAAACAGTAATAGCATTTAGAACAACTGGGACATGTCGATGGTTTTGTATGAATCTGCTTGGCCATGGCCATACATTTGTTTGTATTGCAGCAGCAGCAGCGGAGGGGCAGATAGGTGTGAGCGATGTAGGCTGAGGCTTTCTCCTTCAGCTGTCTCTGACACAGATGGCAGCTCCAGCTCCCTGCAACACAGAATGCATTTGGCAAAATCAATGCCTGGGCTCAAAAGAACATGACTTCTGCTATATACTCTTCATTTTTATTTACATTAATCTCAAAATGAAGTTTTGTTATTTATTCCTGTATCTGCACTCTTAACTAAAAGTGCAGATACAGGATGAAAAACGTTTCTAGAAGAAGTATCATATTAAGTTTAAGAGCAATTTTGTTTGTATGTTTTAGGGTGAAGCAACTCTGTACTGCCGACTGAACCACCATGTACCCCTGCTCAGCATGTACTTAAATGGCCAGTCTGACCTTCGCCCCGAAGGTCTTCCTCTTTTGGTTGGCCAGTGGCACCGCGTACCGTGTTGTCGCCAGGGCATTTGACATGCCCCAGTCCACAGTCCACGATGTGATCCACAGGGTGGCCAACCAGATCCTTCAAATGCGGAACCAAATAATTCATTTCCCTTCCCTGGAGGAACTGCCCCAAGTTGCAGCTGGGTTTCAGTTGCTGGCTGGATCAGCTGCTCTCAATAATGTTGTGGGGAGCATCGACGGCTGCCACATCAGAATAAAGCCCCTTCAAGAAAATGCACAGTGTTATTTTAACAGGAAATTGTTTTATTCTATTCAAATGCAGGCTGTGTGTAATCACCGTGGCTTATTTATTGATTTGTTTGTTGGCTACCCCGGATCTGTGCACGATTCTCGGGTGCTTAAAAACAGCCCCCTCTACGTCCACCGGCTCTATCCCCCAAATGGACACGTCCTCCTTGGGGATGGTGGCTACCCTTGCCTCCGTCAGCCCATCACACTCCTCACTCCATACAGAGAGCCTGTTTGGAGCCCAGTGGAAGCCCGCTTCAACCGGCACCATGCACGGGCACGATCTGTAATAGAGAGAGCGTTTGGCATGATGAAGGCAAGATGGCGATCCATTTTTTTCCAAGGCACTGGAAGTCCAACCCACCTTTGCAGTCGAGGTGACTGCCTGTTGCGCCATCCTGCACAACATCTGCGTCAGCGATGGTGATCTCTGGGAGCCAGTGGAAGAGGAGCCAGGGCCTGATGATGAGCAGGACCAGCATCAGCAGCACCAGCCTGATCAGCAGTGTGGACAGGAGCAGTGTGGACAGGAGCAGTGTGGACAGGAGCTGTGTGGACAGGAGCAGTGTGGACAGGAGCAGTGTGGACAGGAGCTGTGTGGACAGGAGCAGTGTGGACAGGAGCAGTGTGGACAGGAGCAGTGTGGACAGGAGCTGTGTGGACAGGAGCTGTGTGGACAGGAGCAGTGTGGACAGGAGCAGTGTGGACAGGAGCAGTGTGGACAGGAGCAGTGTGGACAGGAGCAGTGTGGACAGGAGCAGTGTGGACAGGAGCAGTGTGGACAGGAGCTGTGTGGACAGGAGCTGTGTGGACAGGAGCAGTGTGGACAGGAGCAGTGTGGACAGGAGCAGTGTGGACAGGAGCAGTGTGGACAGGAGCTGTGTGGACAGGAGCAGTGTGGACAGGAGCAGTGTGGACAGGAGCAGTGTGGACAGGAGCAGTGTGGACAGGAGCTGTGTGGACAGGAGCTGTGTGGACAGGAGCTGTGTGGACAGGAGCAGTGTGGACAGGAGCAGTGTGGACAGGAGCAGTGTGGACAGGAGCTGTGTGGACAGGAGCTGTGTGGACAGGAGCTGTGTGGACAGGAGCAGTGTGGACAGGAGCTGTGTTTTATATAATATATGCTTCACAAATTAGCTTCAAAGAAACAAACCTTGTAGGTCTTTTTCAGGTTCTCCCACTTCTTGACCGCTCTGGCAGGGCTGATCAGACGGCTCAGCTCCATTTCCTTTATTACTGCCCTAAAGTAACGATACCTTAAAACATTTGAATACGAGTAGACGTTTTTTGAATAAGTATTCATTCATAATGGTCGTACTCCCATCCAGCCGCCGAAGCAAATTTTTCACCCGCAGTCAGATGAGTCTCTCCACATCAGTGTCTGTCCCTTTAAAAAACATTAAACACACAATAAATGCTATACATATAACACAAGTGCTTTAATAACATTAATGACTGACCACCAGTGACCCGTTTCTGTAGCGTTAGCTTTAGATGTTAATGTTATGATATGCGAAAATGCTAACACTTTCGCGGCATAACATTGGTACGTTGTTTCGCAGTAAAAGGCGATGGTATTCTGACTTCAAATGTGTATTTTGGCTGCTTATCGTCAACAATATATCACGGTTTACACATTTCCATATTTATGATGATTAAAAACTCACATTTGTAGCTCATGTCCCGCTCCGCTTCCAGCTCGTCTCTCGCTGCCTCCGCCATTTTACTTCCGTATAGTGACCACTGCTGTTCACTACATTTTCGAGATGCATTGTGGGAAAATTCCAGTGCACTACTTTTTCTCTCTGGACATTCGGACACCCCTACAAAATGGCGTGACCACTATATAGTGCACTATATAGGGTATAGTGTGGACATTCGGATCTCACTGACTCATTCTGGAGGCTCCACCATTTTAGTGCTTTTAGATCTTACTGCTGCTTTTGACACTGTTGACCACACAATTCTTTTAGGACCGCCTGAGAGATTGTGTGGGCGTCAGGTGGACTGCTTTGGAGTGGTTCAGGTCCTAACTGTCGGAGAGGTCTTTCTCAGTCAGGCTGGGGGATGCCACATCTTCTTCTGCCTCACTTTATTGTGGTGTCCCTCAAGGATCTATCTTGGGACCTATCCTTTTTGCACTCTATCTCCTCCCACTTGGGGAGATTTTTAACAGACACGGAGTGTCCTATCACTTTTATGCAGATGACTGCCAAATTTATATGCCAATTTCGAGAGGCCATGCCCCCCTGACGCCCCTGCTCAACTGTCTATGTGACGTCAAGGCTTGGTTAGCCCAGAATTTTTTAGTAATGAATGAGGGAAAAACGGAAATTTTAACATTTGGACCGGCCCTTACTGACTTGGGACCACTAGGAAATTATGTGCGTTCCAAAGTCACCAGCCTTGGCGTGACTATAGACAGTGATTTTAAATTTGACAAACAAGTGAATGGCGTTTTAAAATCGTGTTTTTATCATCTTCGGCTTTTATCAAAAGTGAAGCCATTCTTATCTTTTAACTTGTTAGAACAGGTTGTGCATGCTTTTATTTCCAGTCGTCTGGACTACTGCAACGCACTTTATGCTGGTGTCAATCAGAAAACCCTCTCCCGGTTGCAGTTGGTCCGGAACGCAGCAGCACAACTTTTAACGGGGGCCAGAAAGCGCGAACACATCACCCCTGTACTCGCGTCTTTGCACTGGCTCCCTGTTCATTTTAGAATTTATTTTAAAATTTTACTGTTTGTTTTTAAATCTTTGCATGGACAGGCCCCTGATTACATCTCGGACCTCATCCAAATTTACACTCCTGCGCGCGCCCTGAGGTCCGAGAGCCAGCTCCAGCTCGTGGTCCCTAACGCGAGACTTAAAACCCGGGGGGACAGAGCCTTTTCTGTGGTCGGCCCTAAGCTCTGGAACGCTCTTCCCCTCCATGTCCGGACGGCCCCCACAGTAGAGTGTTTTAAGTCTCGTCTTAAGACCCACTTTTACTCTTTGGCTTTTAACACTGTGTGAGTTGTGTGGTCCTCTGTGTTTTTATTTTTCTATTTATGGTTTTAATCTGTTTTATATATTTTTATTCTTTTATACTTGGTGAAGCTAAGGATAAGTTGTTATTTATTTTATACTTTTTTGTGCAGCACTTTGGAAACGTAACTGTTGTTTAAATGTGCTATATAAATAAAGTGGATTGGATTGAACGTAAATCAGAACTTGTCACCTTATTCTGGAGTAGAATTCGGTGTGCCGCAGGGTTCGGTACTCGGACCGATTCTTTTTACTCTCTAATGCTGCCGTTAGGAAACATTATTAAAAAGCATGGAATTAATTTCCACTGCTATGCAGATGACACACAGCTTTATCTGTCGATGAAGCCAAATCAGACAGATCAGCTAGAAAAGCTCAGTGCCTGCATAAAGGACCTTAAAATGTGGATGACCCTTAACTTCCTACTTCTCAACCCGGAGAAGACAGAAGTGATCCTACTCGGTCCGAAGCGCCTGCGTGACACCCTCACTAACCAGATAATTACTCTCGATAATGTCAGTATTATACCCAGTAACACTGTGAGGAATCTTGGAGTCATTTTTGACCAAGAACTCTCCTTCAAGGCTTATATAAGTTATTACGCGTTTGTCACCTCAAGGCTCGACTACTGTAACGCTTTATTGGCAGCGTGCCCTAAAGCGTCTTTGAAGAGCTTCCAGCTCGTTCAGAATACAGCAGCTAGGATCTTAACAGGTACCAAAAGGAGGGAGCACATAACTCCGGTGTTAAAATCACTCCACTGGCTCCCTGTGGAGTACAGAATAACGTTTAAAATCCTTCTCTTAACATATAAAGCCATAAATGGCTTGGCTCCCTCTTATCTCCAAGACACGTTAGTGTCGTATCAACCAAGTCGAGCGTTGCGCTCACAAAACGGCAGACGTCTGGTGGTTCCTAAGGTCTCAAAAATCACTGTTGGTGGCAGAGCATTTAGCTACCAAGCTCCTTTACTGTGGAATCAGCTTCCCATTTATGTTAAGGAAGCAGATACGGTCTCCACATTCAAGGCCAGGCTTAAAGCACTTTACTTTAATTTAGCATATAATTAGGTAATATATAATATATGGTGTATATATTATATATATATGCTGTATTATGTTATATATTATGTTATATATTATACAATAATGTATTGTGTTATGTTATATATTATGTTATATATTATGCTGTATGTTATGTTGTGTATTATATATGATATATATGGTATGTATGGTATATATGATGTATATAATATATAATTAGGTTTGCTTGGATCGGTTTGCACACCTGGTATGCAATCCATGAATCTCTTTATTCAAGGCTAGGTTTAAAACAGTCCTCTTTAGTTTAGCATATGGTTAGGAAGGTAAGACTCGGGGAAGGCTAAACTCCTCAGAGTGTCAGTCAAGCTGCATAGGGAGTCAGTTTGCTGGGAGAAGTATGGTAACTTGAGCACTATCCTCTCCTCCTTCCTACTTTATCTACTTTATCTGTTTAGCACTTTTAGGATTCTGACTGTAGTTTGTTCATTGCTATTCACCCGTTGTCCCATTGTCTGTTTCATGGTACAATGACGGGATCTCTGAGCCTGGCCTCCTCCATCTACACCTGCGGACTGCCCCGCCCGACCCGCCTGGGAGTGCTTCGGTCCTGCACCGGACCTGTCCACGTTCAGCGGCCACTGGTCCACGTCCTGTAGCTAGCTTAGGTCCTAGATCATTAGCCTGTCCGTCCGGAGGAGCGGATCCCTTTCTCATATGGGTCTCCCTCCCTGTGGGTTTCCCTAGTTCTCCCCAAGGTTTCTCACTTTTTCCCACTGGGTTTTTTAAGAGTTTTTCCTTGTCGATGCAGGAGGGTCTGGTTGGACAGTTAGTGTCCAACAGAAAGGATTGGTGATGATCAGGACACTTTAGCATTCTACAACATGTATGGACATTTTCTTCTGTGTGTGCTTTATATTCTTCATGTGTTTTAACTGTTGATTCTCTGACCTGTGTTGGTGATTTCAATGGTTTTGTTAAGTCCTCTGAGATGACTTCTGTTGTGACCTAGGGCTATACAAGAATAAATTGTATTGTATTGTGAAGACGCACATTCTCTAAATTTCAGGCGCTAGGGGTGTTTAGACCTGTAGTCCTGGCCTGTGGTGGCGCTTTGACGCTAACAGAGTTAAGCTAGTGGCTTTTCATGTAAAGTTCTTCTCCAAGAATGCAGCTCTGCAGCGTCTCTGTGTTCAGAGACCTTCCAGAGACTTTATATAACACCAGTACGGGTTCATGGAGGTGCGCTTTAAGTTTATTTTATTATTAAACTGTACTTCCGCATCGGCGAACAGTCGCTGGTGCATGAGAACTCAGCCAAGTACTGTGTCGCCCGTTGTCAATCCTATTTTAGTCCTGGTTTAGCTCCTGTTTTTGCTGTTTACAAGTATTTTCAGTCTGCTCACTAGACCGCTAATGTCCCTGTGAACACTTTGCGGCTCTCTGATTGGTCGCTGCGCGTGCGTCCTGTGGAAAAAGTTCAGCAATGTTTATCTCCTGCGTGCGTCAATTTTCCGCTCCTGCGCCTCTACCGTGCAGTCCGTGCATGGAGTGTGGAATTGCACATGCATTTCCACACTCGAACGAACGTCACCATTGCATGATCTGGTCTGAATGCCCCATAACTCCGCTCTGATCAACAGCTGCTTCGGTCAAAGCGGGGCCCAAGCCCCTCTCTGCACGTGCATGAGAGCCACACGTTGGCTCTCATGGCGCAACGCATCATAGGAGCTCGTCTACCGCACAGAACCGGGAGGACCAGAGGATGGCCAAATATGGGCGAGTTCTACTATTATTTCGGTGCCCATGGTGTCACATGCACTACTGAGCACAAGCCATTGAGTTGAATAGGACGCCATCTTGAATCGCCAGAGCTTGGCACACACGTATACACGCTAGGGCTTGGCTTCGAAGTGTTGATATTATAAATATATATATATATATATATATCTAACCATATTCTCTGCAAATGTGTCCTAAAATGATCTATTAATGTTAATGGTTACCTCCGGGTTTACCGCGAACGCTTTTCAGATTCAGTTTATTTGCCATTTGCAGTAAAAAACCCCACATTGGAATACATTAGCAAAAAGTCTCCTTTTTATCGCATTAAAATATTTTGTCATTAAAACGTTAACAGATCATTCTGAAAACCT